TCATTTTGTTTCCTGTTCATACGATCCCTCTGTCCAAGCACCAGCTCCACCCCTCATACAACCCCCCTTTAATCCCAATCATTTTTTTTTCCCGTATATTACCCTGACGACCTCCTTAAATCCATCTGTAAATCCCAAACCAAAGATTTAGGACCAGATAATATCCCAGTTAAATTAATTAAATCCTCACCACTTCCATCCATTTTCCCAGTCCTTTATCATATCTATAATTTCTCACTACAAAGTTCCACTTTTCCCAGCACCTGGAAAACAGCTCTTGTTCATCCTCTGAACAAAATCTCTAACCCCACAACCACTAATGATTTCCGTCCAATTTCCCTCTTGTCTAACCTTTCCAAACCTTTGGAGCGAATAGTACAATCTCAACTACCCCAATATCTTGAACAAAATAAACATTTGAACTGCTTCCAGTCTGGTTTTAGACCAGACTACTCCACTCATTCCGCCCTCATTAAAATCTCCCAAGATCTCCACACAGCCATAGATCAACAGAAACTCACCATCCTGATCCTTATTGATTTCTCTAAAGCATTCGACTCAGTTGACCATAATATCCTCCTATCCAAACTTAAAAATATATCCCTATAATCCAGTACCCTTAAGTGGTTCCAATCCTTTCTCATCGATCGCTCCCAGTACGTTGTAGTTCCTAATAACCCTCAATCAATGTCTTTACCTCTGTCCAGAGGCGTTCCACAAGGTTCCTCATTATCCCCCACCCTCTTTTCGATCTACATGAATGACCTCCCTTCCTCTATCATACACTGTCAATATCACCTATTCGCCGATGACGTCCAAATTTATCTTTCCTTCAACCAGACAGATTCCTCTAATGCCATCCTGAAACTGCAACAATATATTAATGGAATATGCGCATGGGCAAATATTAATAAGCTGACATTGAATACGGAGAAGACAAAAGCCATCCTGATCGGATCCCCCTCACTCCTCAAATCCACCTAATCTTCTTCTGAACAACTCACCTATCTCCTTCCATACCACCGTTAAAAACCTAGGCGTTACCCTCGATCAAAGCCTCTCCTGGAAACCACATCTCCCAAATCTCCCGCCGTACTATATCCACCCTGAAACAGTTTAACCATCTACGTTATATTCTTCCGTTCAAAACCCGTCAACTACTGGTCTCCTCTCTTGTTTTCCCCCACATCGACTATGGCTCCATGGTGTATGGTGGACTCTCGGGAGAACTCAAAGTCAAACTTAAACGTTTAATGAATTGCTCAAACTGCTTTATCTTCGGGATCTCAAGGGATACGCATATTACCCAGTTCTACACCAAGTTGAAGTGGCTTTATCCGTCCTACCGCTGTCAATATTTTCTGGCTACCTTCCTATACCGAGCCATTACAACACGGCGACCTGCCTATATTCTACAGATCCTACAATTCAAACGCTCCTTTCGATCCCGTCCCACCAGATCCTGTGCGTCCGACATCTATCCTCCCCCTCACCGAACTGCTGCATTTGATAAATCCTTTTTAATACAAGTTGTCTCCCTCTGGAACTCTATACCTTTAGATATTCGACAAGCAAAATCGATATCCTCTTTCAAATCTCTCCTCTTCAAACACCTAATCCATTCCCAATCCGATTGATCACGAAATGCACTTAAAAACCTAAGCTGTAAAAACCTCAAAGTACACCCAGATACTCTGATTATTTTGTAATTCATCGATATTTCGTTCACTTAATTACTTTCTCTGTATATTTTATATTTACACGTATTTATATCTTTTTATCATTTATAACTTTATTGTATTCCGAATCAACCTGTAAATATTAAATTGTATTTCATGGTCACACCAAAATATTGCTATATATTCTGTATTTGTGACTTGTTCTAAAGGGACACTAGTCCCAGAATAATAAAAATATTTTCATTCATTCATTCATAATACTAGTACCTGATAAATCCGTATAGGTACAATAAATCAATATCCATAAGTGTACATTCTACTTAGGAGAGCATAATAATAGACCTTCATATTGGAGAGGGAGGGGATGGCCATTATTTAAAATAAAATATAAAATTTACAAAAAATTAAAACATTAATTTGAAATAAAAACGGATGAATTTGAATTGGAAAAGGTTTAATTTGAAATGGAAATGGTTGAATTTACTTGGAAAAAGTTGAATTTGGTTTGGAAAAGGTTGAATTTGATTTGGAAAAGGTTGAATTTGACTTGGAAAAGGTTGAATTTGACATGGAAAAAATTGAATATGACATAGAAATATTACTCTGAAAAAATCTAAAATGTTAAAATAAATGGATATGCAACCGCGTTATCATATTTTTTTTTTGTATTTTTCAATTATGGTTTCGATATTATTTAAAAGCTATACTACTACTATATAATATGTACTATATATATACTATATACTATATATACTGCTATACTATATACTATATTATTCAAAAGCTATGCCTTCAAAAATATAGTAAGTGGCCTTCATTTCGAAAAAAATCTAAAATTGACAAAAATTCGAAAAGTTGAATTTGAAATGGAAAAGGTTGAATTTGACTTGGAAAAGGTTGAATTTGACTTGGAAAAAGTTGAATTTGAAATGGAAAAGGTTTAATTTGACTTGGAAAAGGTTGAATTTGATTTGGAAAAGGTTGAAATTGACTTGGAAATGCTATATAATGCCGTCCTCCATTCCACATATTTTCCTGACCCTTGGAAATTATCTATTGCCAAAATGATTCATGAACCCAAAAAGCTACCAGAATACCCATCCTCTTACCGTCCCATCTCTCTTTTACCCCTCATGGGCAAAATTCTGGAAAACTCATCTTAAAACACCTGTATCCCATCCTTGATTCTAACCACATAATCCCTGATCACCAATTTGGATTCCGTACATCCCATTCCACTAACCAGCAACGCCATCGTGTGGTAAATGTCTCCTCCGCATTGGAGCGCAGATCGTATTGCACTGGAGTCTTTCTCGACGTTGAACAGGCGTTTGATCGAGTCTGGCACCCAAGATAGCTTTACAAACTCCCTAAATTTCTCCCCCCCCCCCTACATACTTTCTCATCATCAGTTCCTACTTTACTGATAGAAACTTCAATGTAAATCATAATAATGCCTATTTATCCCTCTCTTCTCAATCTGCTGGTGTTCCACAAGGTGTATCTTTGGTCCTATCCTACACAGTTTATACGGCTGATATCCCAACCCATCCTAACACTGTTATCACCACCTATGACAATGACACATGTATCCTATCAGTTAATAATGATCCATCAATTGCATCCCAAACTCTTCAATCACACATCACAAACCTTGAAGAATGGTGTCAAAATTGGAGGATTAAAATAAATTCCAATAAATCACTTTTACCCTTTGTCATAAACCTATCACTTCCTGTCCTACAGCATCCTTTAATAACACCCCACTTACAAATCCTCTGTTGAACAAATCCGATATCTAGGACTCCACCTGGACAAACGTCTCACTTGGAATCCTCATACAATACTGAAACGACAAGAAACTGCTCGACGTTTCTGCTTACTCGAACACTTATTAGACAAACGCTCTAAACTATCAATTAATTACAAAAGACTAATATACATGACTGTACTAATATTTGGACTTACGGAATTGAGCTATGGGACTCCACTAAACCATCTAATTCCTCTAGTATCCAATACTTACAATCCAAAATCCTTTGTAAAATCCTCAATGATCCTTACTTTTTCACAAATAAAATAATCCATAAAGACCTTAATGTTCCATATGTTTCCGATTTGGCCCAATCCAGATACCTATCCTTCCATAATAAACTTCATAACCATCCGAATCCTCTCATTTCTAACCTTCCTCTTTGATTCCTGATAACCCTCCGATGCGTCTGAAAAGAAGATGGCCTCGTGATCTCCTTATTTAGACATATTATTAGAGTGCTACCAGTGGGTAGTTTCCCAACAAGCGTTTTCATGTGGTTATATTCCTATGTACACATTTACTTGATGTATTTATATTGTAATACAGTTGTAAATATCTTGAATAACTAGTTTTTAAAAAAAAAAAGCTTTAAAAATACTGATTTTTCAAATATTTTTCGGATAAAGTGGTTATAAACTGTATTTTTCACCCAGATATCTATTATAGAAGTTGATTTATATTTGTGATTAATAAAATAAAAGTTTTTAGTCCTAAAATTCATGGTTACAGAGCCATTTATAGTAATTTGTCTACTGAGACAAATTTGGTAAAAATCAGCGTTGGTTGACAGTGGTTTTATACCTCATCATGTAACCAAATTATTAAGTTTATATACTCGTTCAATGCACAATTTAACGTTCTCTAATTTATTGAAGAATACATTTTTTTGCTTTTATGCATTGTTTAGGAGTTATTGGTGAAAAAAAAAAAATGACTTTTTTGGCTAAACCCATATATACAAGCTATAAAAAATCTAAATTTTTCTCACGTTTTTCGCAATAGATTCCCTGTTTCGATCCTCAAATTACTTGCCCAATATTCTTTAAATCAATCGTCATTTTTGAAAGCAGCGGCTTTGGAATGGCAAACAAATATATTTTTACTCAGAATAACATACACTTGCGTAATTTACAATCAAACCTTCGCCTGGGATGAGGTCGATTTTTGGGCCCTAGTTCCAGGGCAATAGGAAATTCCCTTAAAATTCTCTGTTTTTCCTAATTTACCGGTTGCTGGAATAAATAAAAATTTTCAAATAAAAATTTTGACCCTCAAAGGTCAAAAACCATTAATCTTAAACTTGAGTAATTTTCTCATTCCACTGATGAGATAGTGGAATTCCACACACCTAACATTCTTCCATTCCTTTAACAACTTCGCCATTTTCAAAACTTTTACCTTCTGGTCTTTCCCAACTGGATTAATCTATAAATCTGACAGCTGATGAAGATAAGCATATGCAACTCTATGATAAAAAAATAACATGAAAAAAGAATTATACCAACTTTTTCATTTCTGATGTCATCTGGGTGAATAGAGGGTGGCTTTTCCATTGCAACAAGAGACAATATTTGTAAAAGATGATTTTGCATAACATCCCTTATAATACCAAATTTATCAAAATAACCACCACGACCTTCAGTGCCAAATGGTTCTTTAAAAGTAATTTGAACAGATGCTACAAACAAACGGTTCCAAGTAGGGCTAAACAAACCATTCCCAAACCTACAAAAAAACAAAAAAACAGTAATTTAGAAATACAGTTGGACATTTTCTGATGACATTCATCAGTTGGACATTCAAGATCCATAAAATTTAATATAAAAGCTAAACAAGACTAAAAATTGAAATGTCTTTACAAATATTATACTAAATTTATTCACAAATGGTTGTTTTGAATCATAATAAAACAGTAAACATAAATATATTTTAACATCAAATAACAATGGTCTTCCTTAAGGAGGAACTTCCTTCAGTAACAATCTCCTAACAATACTTTTGAAGAAATATTTTTAAAGAATTTCTTTTTTAAAAAATATAAATCTATACATTTAATAAATGCACTTTATGCACATAAGAACATCAATCTATAAATATAAATATGGATATTATATAAAATGAAATTTTGTTAAATAGTTATTTGTTCACCAATAATATTCTGTAGATCTTAAAATTACTTTTGTGGTGTAGAGAGGTGGCAGCCCTATCACCTAGTATTGTACCGCAATTAGCACTTTTTTTTTTCGTACAGTCTACATTGAAGACCAAGAATATCAAGCCTACAGTTATAAGACTTTAATAGATTCACTTATTACAGTTGTAAAATAAATTGTTTTGTTAGACAGGAGCGAAAAGTCATTTATTTATTTAGTTTTCCCATAGGCCTCACAATAGAAGAATAATAAACCAGGTGAGTCAATTCATTCAAAGTGTATTTACCAAGTCCCACATTTCATGTATATATTCTTATTGTTTCTTCTCAATCAGTGTCATAAAAGTATTAGGTTCCCGAATTCCCAACAACAGTTAAACACCCTCAAAAAGTCTATATCCAGTACCGGGGTTTTGTTTTAATAATCACGAGTGTAAATAACCTAGTTCCCCGATATAAATGGAAGGCTATTCGCAATTCCTGCCAAAACAAATTATTAACAATTAACTCTTCAAACAGGTTATTTACAATATCATTTCAAGAATCAATCTTTTTTGCTGATTATTTTTGTTATATAGGACTTTCATCTTATCAAAATCAAATGTGTGCCCCTTTTTAACAGTATGGCTGGCTAAAGCCATCTCTTCTTTTTTGTTTTCAATCCTGTATTTGTGAGCATAAAGTCTCTTATATAAATACTGTGATATTTCCACGATGTAGATCAGGATTACTTATATATTTCATGACCTATCATCCGACTATAATTCATATTTTAAGTTATATATATATATAAAAGGGGCTGGGGTAGCCGTGCGGGCTAAGGTGCTTGCAATAGGTAACTAAGTTAAGCAATGCCCGATATGAGTGATCGTCCACCAGGGAAAGCCATACTGCCCGAGACCCCCTCCCGGGTTTTTGAGACCCATCAGCCTACTGAAGGCAACTCACACCGATCGGGCATAGGACTGATGACCCTATTCCCGTATACTTAATCAGGAATCGGGATGGTCTAGAAGACCACACCTCGCGGTCAAAGATCTACAAGGTCTGCAGCACCAACCGAAAAAAAAAAATATATATATAGAATAGAATAGAATAGAAAATTAAACTTTATTCTGGGACTAAGTACCTTTAGAATAACAATGATGAGTTAATACAAAGTAAAGTACAAATCTGGCCAAAAACTAACTTATAAAAATTTTAATATTATATACATTATTTAAAAAGTATGTAACCAGTAAAAAATAAAAAATAAAATATATATACAAATGAACATAAAATCTTCTCAAAATTACTTAATTGTGATGAAAAAAAAAAAAAAAAGAGAAATTACATATTTATATATACATAACTACACAATTTATAAACAATAGGCTATCTAATAGAAAACTAACTTAATACAAAATGTAATAATATCTACAGTGGTTTATATAATAATATGCAGACACTAAGATAAAATAAAATCTTAGGATACTTGTGGTGTAATGGAAAAAAATAAAATAAATAAAAGGAACTATTTATACGTAGATTCTCATATTGGCACACATAAAGACAAAAATATAAAATATATGCATATATACCCGAAAGAAAAAGCACAACCTGAGGAGAAGAGAAAAATACATAAATAGTAAAAATAATAGTCAAACTAGGTGACAAAGATCATTGCTGTTTTATGTTAAAACTTAAACAGTAGGCACCACTATTTACTTCACGCAAATTCAGTTCATAAAATGAAATTTATGGTGGTAAATCTTCTGTTTGGGATGTAAGGAGATATTGGAAAAGGAGGTATTTGAAAGTTTGCAGGGATGAGGCATGACGGATGTTATGTGGCAAAGAATTCCAGTAGGAGAAGGAGCGGGGTAAGAAGGAACGTTCATAGGTTTTTGTCCTGTGGAATGGAATATAGAGGTCAGAAACACGGGATCTCATTTTTATTGAGTGGACTAAGGGTTTAGGCTGGAGGAGACAACAGATATAGGAAGGGTGCTGGGAGTTGATCGTTTGGTATAAGAAATTTCCAAGGAAGTATAGGCGGCGGGAAGAGGGGAAGAGCCACTTTGACTCAGCATATAGGTGGGACACATGAGACCATCTTGAAGTGCCGAAGACGAATCTTAAAAAACAGCTCATGATTCTCTTCAGTCTGTCCTCAAGCTCCAACGAGAGGCCACCATATACCACACAGCCATAGTAAAAGTAGGGGAAAATCAATGAGGAAACGAGGAGCCTGCGGATAGGTTGTGGGAGATGCTGACGAGAACGATGAAATAATTTAAGAGTAGCAATTGACCTTCTGGAGATTTGAACAATATGGGGTTTCCATTATAGGTTTTGATCAATGGTAATTCCTAAGTTTTTTACAGAGGAGGGGAAGGAGATTGGTTGGTCATTAATATTCAAGGAAGGATGGGTGGAAATGGATCTAAGGAGGGAGTTGGAACCTATAAGAATGGCCTGAGTTTTCATTGCATTCAACTTTAATTTATTCAAGCTTGCCCAGGCACTTATCCTATCTAGGTCTCTCTGAATATTCGTAAACGCTTCTAATAACTCAGTGGGAGGAAAGGAAAAATAAATTTGGGAGTCATCAGCATATATATGGTACGAACAATGGTGGATTGAACTAGGAAGGTCATTGATGTAAGAATTAAAAAGGATAGGAGAAATGCTTGAACCCTGCGCTACTCCATGAGACAAAGTGACGAAAGAAGATAAGGGTTGATTCGGAATACTAACGGCTTGAGTCCTGTCAGAAAGAAAGGATTGGAACCATTGGATAGAACTATTGGAAAAGAATAGAGATTTTAATTTAGTGAAGAGAATAGAATGGTCTAAGGAGTCGAATGCTTTGGAGAAGTCTAGGAGTACTAATACAGTCAGTTTTCTTTCGTCAATTGCAGTGTGTATGTCATTTGTGATTTTAACTACAGCGGATTGAGTGGAGAAGCCTAGGTGAAAGCCAGATTGGAGAGGATCTAGAAGTTTGAACTCTTCGAGAAAATTGGAAATTTGGGATTTGACTATTCTTTTGAGGGGTTTTGACAGATTTGAGAGGATGGAAATTGGACGATAGTCTTTAGGAGAGGTGGGGTTAGGGATTTTGTTAATAGGACGGACTAAGGCTTTTTTCCAGGATGTAGGAAAAACAGAATTTTGAAGGGAAAAGTTATAAATAAATAGAAGAACTGGAAGGATTTCAGGGAGGCATAATTTTAACAGTTTGACAGGTATTCCGTCAATTCCTGTAGAGTTGGATTGGGATTTCATTATGGAGGAAATAAGGTTCGTAGGAGTGATGTAAGAAAAATAAAAATTGTCACTATTAAATGCAGATGATACAGGAATAAAAGAAGAGGCGGGAGAAATATTACTAGAGGAGGAGGACAAAAAGTAGGAATTTAAGGCATCAGGAGAGACTGGGACAGCTAGGGAAGAAGATGATTTGCAAAGAGATAGCATTCGGAGTAAATGCCATTTGGATTTTGAATCGGGAGCTGAGAAGGCTTCATGAAAGTAATTGGTTTTCGCTTGCCTGATCGTTGTTTGCGTCAAGTTACGGAGTACCCTGAACGCTTCGTAGTCATCTGCAAGCCTGGTTCTTCTAAAACGTCTACGGGCTGCCTCACGTCTCTTATGCATATTTCGAATTTCTTGACACATCCAAGGAGCAGGCTGGCGGCGGAATGTAGAGGTTTTAAGTGGGGCATGGGTATTGAGGATATGGAGGAGATTAGAAGTCAGGATATCTACTATGGTATCAATTGAGGAGCTGGTGTAAACATCATTCCAATTCAGGGTTTCAATATCGGGTAAGATGCTTTCACGGGTTAGGGAATTTATGTTGCGGAAGGTTATGGTTTTAGGAAGGATCGCAGGGGTCTGGATATTGTATGATAGTTGGATAAGGTCAGGTGAAGACAGGAAAGGAATAGGTTGTTGGGACGAGGACAAAAGGTTCTCCGCAGAATCGATGATAAACAGGTCCAGCCATGTATCAGACCAGCAAGTGTGATGAGTAGGAGCAAATGGCACTATAAAGAGGTTAAGGGAGTAGAAAAGGTTTTCCAGGTAGTGTTTATCGTGGGAATCGGAAAGGAGATTGGCGATAAAGTCACCGGAAACTATTATATTACTGTAAAATGGGATAAATTTGTATAGGGTTGATTCGAAGGATGGGTCGAAAGGTACCAGAGGAGGGCGGTATACTACAACGTATAGGAGAAGATGGGCTTTAAAGGAAATTTCAACAAAAAGGTATTCCATGTGGGGATATTTGGAAGGGGGTGAGATATCTAGGGTTCGGGATTTTAGGCTATTATGAACGTAAAGACCCACACCACCACCCGTTCGTGTAATCCGGTCATGGCGGAAAAGGTGTGATCGGGTAAGGAAACGGAAGAGGAAGGTATGTGGGGTTTTAGCAATGTTTCGGAAACTGCAATAGTATGGTAAAAATTGCAGGTAAAATATTGCTGAAATTCGTCGAAATGGGCTGGTAAGGATTGGGAATTAACATGACGAGAGGTCAGGATACTAGTCATGTTGGATAGGAAATAGAGAAATATGATGAAAGGCAGCTGAAATATAATGAATAACATTTAAAAAGAAGCAAGTAATGGCTAAATATAAATAATATGCAGCAATGATAAAAAAGACTAAACATGATAAAATAAAAGATTACGTCAGTTGTGCTAGAGAAAAAATAATGGTAAAACAGTAACATAATACGGCAAAGTGATTTATAGTAGGCAACGCTTAACATTTCCCAATTATGACCATCTAGTTGACGAATGTCGAACCGTCAGCAGAAAATATCAAGATCTTGTGGCTGATCGATGTAGATCACCGGGTGTCCATCTTCTTTTCTACAACGAACTCTATCCCCCGCAAACCATAAGTATTTTAATTTGCCTGCTGCTCTCTTCTGACGGGCGAGCCAGTACAGACTTCTATTCATAGGAGACATTTCTTCGCCGAGATATATCCGGTGGGAGTCGTTTTCTTGCCAACCAATATCCCTACCTAGTAGAAAAGTCCCTTTTTACCTTTCTTCTTTGCACCAAGTCGTCGCGTACAGACTGCCTCACAAAACGAGCAATCACAGGTGGTGGTCGGGGATCATCTTTTCTTGGTCTCCGTTGCTCCACAAAGTCGAGGTCCTCTGCGTTGATCTTAATCCTGAGGCCGGCTCCCACGCTGGCTACCAAGGCCGATGGAGTTTCTCCGGGATGCCACGAATTTCTAATATATATATATATATATATATATATGTATGTTTATTCATTTTAATGGTAGTAATAGACAATGAACAGAAGTAGGAACCATATTAATGTTGTTTTATTCTTGCATGTAATGACTGGCTGTGTTAACTCTATTTTATTGTAATTTGATTTAAATTTTAGTATTTGACGTTAGTGTAAAATACATGTAAGGTTGTTTTAATTCATCATTTTAGCAATTTTAATTATAACCAGAGATTGTTGTGTATACTGTTATTGTTGGTATTGGTATTATTCTCAGACACCAGGATCAGGGTGTGCATTGCAGCCCTAGTAGCTTGATGTCCTTGTGGCGGTACTATTGGCGCTGTCAGTGTGCTGCCGAGCTTGGGGTATTGATGCTCAATTAAAAGTAAGAAATATTTGGTATTATTGTTGAAATGTACGAAAACTTTTAAATGTTGTACCAATGATGACTATTGTTTTCCAGAACTAAAGAGGATCCCATTATTTATGTTAAAAACAGGGATAGAAACATTTTAATAAAAAGAACAAACAGAAATTGTTTTAGCTCATTCAAGCTTATTTCATGACCTGTTATCCAACTATAGTTGATATCTTAAATTATAATATATACAGGTCGAATTATAAAAAGATTGTAATTTTTTTATATATATATATATATATATATATATATATATATATATATATATATTTATATATATATATTATATATAATATATATATATATATATATATACATATACACATTTTTTAAATTTATTTATTTGTCACCCTCTCCTACTAGGCTATAAGGTTGTTTCTATGTAGTGGGATGTTATGCATGACTGTATAACAACACACTACTGCAAGTAAAACAATATACAAGTTTCTATGTTCGGTGATTTCTGATCAAGGGTAACCGTCTTCCGGTGGTCTTCTTGGTGCTGGTTCTCTTGTCTATGCACCAACGTTGAAGTGGGTTGGACGCACAGCCTCCTTCCAGCCATAAACGGGAAGTTCTCATCATTGTTGCCTTTATTCCTTCGAATGCAGTGCAGGTTGTGACCATGTCCTCGACAGTCTCCAGAACTCCACAAGTAGGGTATTAGGGATCTATGTCCTGGCCAAAGCTATGTTTCTTAGCTCGAAAACCACCATGCCCCGTGGGGAATTTTGAAACCCAACAGTCAAGGAAGACCCATTGTGTATCTAGCCAAGATTGTACTGTGGGGAAGTATTTCCTAAAAGCACCAATAGCAATCCACCCATGGCTTCATTCCTCAATTGCATCCTCCCGGATTATCTTCTTCCATTTGTTGGGACTTTCCAAAATTCACACCCGTAGATTTTCTGGAACTCCGGCCAAGCCTTCTATTTTGAACTTTTGTATAATCACATCTTCTCACAGGAGATTGAGACACATCTTTTCAAGGGTACTACAGTTCAATGTGGAACTTGGCCTCCTCAATGAGCCTTCACTAGGTACCTTTTGAATATCAGGAGAGGAGCCAGATATGAACTCCTTGGATGAGAAATGCCACCGAGATTTTGAGTTCACTATACCCCGCACATCCTACCAGAATAGTACACTACAGACTAGGTCATATATAGTACACACTCTAGGGTCACCTTCCCCAAGAATGGAGAATCAGGATGCTCTCAGAGAAGGCAGCTCCTCCACCTGATTTGGGAGGAAATTGGATTGATTTCCCATTCCTCTTAAATTTAAACAAATCATGGAACTTCAAGAGAAATTAAAAAGACGTACATTTCTTAAAAGAAACTGTAATATATGTTAGTATAAAACCCAATTTATTAAAAAAAAATTCAGATTGATTATATACGGTAAAATATGTCTACAAACCTCAGTATCATTAAATTCTGAACCATTTCTTTTCCAAGATAATGATCAATACGAAAAACTTGATCTTCGGAAAATAGTGATGCTAAATGGAGGGATAGTTTTTCAGAGCTTGCATCATCATGCCCAAAAGGCTTTTCAACAATTATTCTAGTCCAACCCCTGAAAAATAAATGAACTGTTAATTAAAGTTACATCTAACAAATAGAAGTATTCAAGTTCCAATAATAAATATGTTGAATGTAAATAAATCATTTATTAGGATTCACTTTTTACAAGATGATAAAGTGACTATTAATAGTAATAATATTATCTAATTATACTATTCGTATTATAAAAATTGTATAACAAGTGATTAATTAAAAAGTAACTATAACAATCAATTCCCATTTCAATATGAATTTTTTTTCAATTTGAAGTTTATTCAATTAGTAAATAACTGGAACCAATGAGAATTACAATTCATAAAGAAAGATTCTGATTGGGGAGAAATTAATAAATAAAATTATGAGATAAGTATATAACAAGAAACAATAACTCAACCAGGGCCATCGCGTGGGAAGGGGCCTGGGATGCCGCGTATAAGGGGGCACCACAGATTGGAGACAAACGTTAAAACCAATAAACAGGAAACCTAATTTAACTCTTTAGCTGTAGGAGCTAATTCGAATGTTTCTACCAAATGGTGCATCCTGAAATCCAAAAAGGCGTCCAGAAAAAGGATTTTTTTTTTGGCAAAAATATGTTTAAAATGCTATTTTGAGTCATCCTGCAAGACTTTAGCTTTCAAAAATGCATTTTAAGCTTTTTATTCAACTTTAAATAAACGGGACATATGCCTTTCCGGCCGCACATAGCAATGCAAAATTAAAGCAGCAATCCCATAACACTTCACTTTCTTGCATATTTGCTCATTTCTGAAAAGCAAAATAACCGAAAATTATCATAAAAATAACAGTAAGAGCATAAAAATTAAAATTAAAAAAAATTTCCAGCTTCAACCAAAGACAGTGAATCTAAAAACTGACAAAAAGAACTTTTCTTTAGCCTACTCCCAAATTCTGAATTTATTAAAACATCCATAGTTATATTCCTTTCCTTTTTGCTGACAACTTCCTTATATATATATTTGTGTGTATGTGTATATATATATATGTATGTGTGTATATATATATGTATATAATATATATATAAATATATATATATATATATATTATATATATACATATACATAAATATATATGTGGGTGTGTGTATATGTGTGTGTGTATGTATGTATGTATGTATATGTTTATGTGTGTGTGTATATATATATGATATATTTTTATTTCAATTATTCTCCTTATTACTCAACAGTTATTTTTCTTTTGAATTTTTCATCCACTTTCTATTAACTTTCGTTCAATTTTCCATAATATTTCTGAGTAATATATCTCTCGTACCTATTTACGCTTCCGGTGCTTTAGTTCAAACTTCGGATAACCGTTATAGATGGCGCCACCTACACATCTCTTCTCTCTCCCCCTCCCTTGCAGCGACTTTTACTCTCCCAGCAACACTTAAGGAGACAGGTAGTACTTCTTTTATTTATTTCTTATTTCAGCTTTCTCAATTTCTTCCCTCCTTCCTTTCATTCCTTTTCTCTGTTTTTAACTCTTTATTACATTATACATTGTCTGTACATCTTGATAGACTTTACAATATCTCAATTTTCTATCTAACTACTCCATTCTCAATGTCTTAATTTTACTATTTATTTTCATTTCTTATATAACTTCATATTTCTTTTTTATGTTTTACATTTTATTCTAAGATTCCCATTGTAACACTTATGTCACCCTTTTTGATTATGCCTACTTCATCATTCCACACTTTGTAACGGTTATTATTATTTATCTCTTAGTTCTTAGTCATTATTCTAACAATTTCATTTTACTTTATATTTATTTATTTTATTTTTTATTTTATTTTTTTACCATCACTACTTATGTTTCTCATACCTTGTTATCTGGTTATTTTCTTAGCCCTGATGAAGGCCTGAACTTCAGGTCGAAACGTCGGCATATGTAAAAATAAATATTATCATTTATTTTTGCCTTCCTTTTTTCACTGACCACCCCAACTATTCTTCCCTTCATTATCCACCATTTACCAATCATAAAAATTAAATTATATTATTTCTAAAAAAAGGAAGCGATGGCGGGATTTGAATTATATATTTCTTTGTATTTACAAATTTTATTCTTACCTCAAAATACACATCACATTCTTAGAGTAAGTTCTTGTCAAATACTTCTAAACTGCTAATATAACTCGGGGATGATGACTTAACCGTACGCACCTGTAAAAATTGGTTTTCTAAATTTCATTCAGGAAATTTTGACATCAATGATGCTCAACGGTCTGGTTACCTACATGAAATTGAAACAAGCAATGTTAAGGCCATTGTTGATCAAAATCCCACCTAATCAGTGCGAGAGATTGCTATGGCCCTAAATGTGTCGCACACAAGCATAGAAAACCTTTTGCACAAGCTCAACTATGTTTCCAGGCTTAATATTTGGATTCCTCACTCTCTAACCTAAGTCAACTTGGCAACACGCATTTCTGTTTGTGATTCAATACGGAAACGGCAACAAAATGACCCATTTTTGAAAAGTTTGGCAACATAACAGGAAATGAAAAATGGATATTTTACAATAATGTAGTCAGTAGAAAATCTTGGGGACCTAGTAGTGAGCATCCTAGAAGAATGTCAAAACCTGGATTTCATCCAAAGAAGATAATGCTCTCCATATCGTGAGATTTCAAGGGTGTTATTTTATATGAGCTATTGCCATCAGGACATACAATTGATTTAACTCTATACTGCTCACACTTAACAAAATTGGATCAATCATTTAAAAATAAATGCCCAGAACTGGCAAATCGGAAGGGTGTTGTGTTCCACCAAGACAACACTAGGCCCCACCCTCCCTATTCACCAGACCTAGCTCCAAGTGACTTATTCCGGTCTCTGCAGAACTCCATGAATGGAAAGAAATTCCAAAAGGAAGAGGACATCAAAAAACCACTTGGATCAGTTTTTTAACAATAAACTCTAGATATTCTATGAACATGGCATTATGCAGTAAGTGTAAAGATGGAAAAAAGTCATATTAAATAATGGTCAATATATTGTAGATTAAAATAAATTTTATGTCTATAATACATTGAGATTTATTTCACCCTGAAAAACTGAAAGGACTTGTTTTCCATCCCAATATCAATGATTTTCAATACCCATATTTCACTATTCAGTCTGATGTTCAAGATATTTTAATAAACAAATATCTTGAGAAACCTAATTTTATAAAAAATATTCACAATTTTTTATAATTGAAATGTCAACTTCACTAGATTAAGTTAGTTGTTTTAAACGTAAATATTATCTATTATTAGTTAAAATATTATCTTACTTTTTTGAAACACATGACTTTCTCAAATTAGTAGTTACTACTTCAAACACACTAGGTGGCAATGCCAGATAAAATATCCTATTAGCTCCATTTTCTGGTTCATAAGAACATAGTACTTCATTCAGTTTATGAAAATCTGTTAATTGAGTGTATGTTCCTTGAACATAGAAATGATTCCTCCAGAAATTTTGATAGTTAGTTTCTTCCTCAGACTTTACCTAAAAAAAGGGGAGAAAATAATTCTTAATAGTAATTTATTTTATCTCATTCATCATTTTATCAATTCGTATTCATGCTGTCAAATGTTGCTAAATTTTAACATGAATTGCATTATACTTATAACAAAATCTTTTAAAAAACCCAAAATAAGAAAATGAGTAGACTTCCAAAATTGGTCAGTCAGTAAATTTAAAAAAAATTAACTACCAAAGATTATTTCAATTGAAAACAAAAATATAATGAACTAAATCTACACATTACTAATGGTTCCTTAATGAGAAAAGATGAGGAAAAGAAATTCCAAAACACATGTTGACATCAATTCACAAAACAAGCACTTCTTCCTTTATCAACATATTCTTCTTCTACTTTCTTAGCACAAAAACTTTTGCAGTCAAAAACACCTGCAATTTCGTCCACCAGTCATCTGTTGGTAGTTGCTGCCCTCCAGTAAAGAATATCCAGGATGTATCTAAAATTGGCTGAGACACCATCCATCCATCGCAACAGAGTCTTCCCACTCATCTGATGGCACAGATTTTTTCATGTAGTATCTTTCAAGGTATCTAGTCTGGTGTAATCACTCATGTTATGCCAACTGGGGACAACCAACCTCTATAACTTTAATAATATATAGTTGCCCTAACTCTATATTGTATCATATCTTCCACATACCATTACTATTCATAGGACCAAATATTTGTTTGCAAGTTAAATTGTTCAATTCAAAGGATAAGGCATTCTTGTGCTCTTACTAGCATCCAACATTCTGAGTCATAAATTAGCACCAGTCAGATCAGTTTTATAAATGCTTATCTTCATTTAACGGGAGATCACTATATATTCCAAATGCTTAAGAAGACCAAAGTATCATTTATTGGTCACTAAGAGTCTTCTCTAAATATCTCCCTTTACACTATTGTCTAATTTCCAATCTCTATCAGGTGAGGATTTCGGAGAATAATATGAGATCCTGCGAGCATACAGTTAGTTTTTTCTTCATTAACCACTTACTTCTCTACAGCTGTAGCTCTCTGAAGCCCAAACAAAAAATGCCTTCCTAATATCAGGAAATGTTAGGCCCATTATATTCATATCATCCATAAAAGCCAGGATCATTGTAAATTTATTAAATGTGTCCCACCACATATTCTAGAGCCAAGTTAAAAAGTACGCAGGAAAGACAGTCACCTGATCTTAGCCCTTTATATGTGTGAAAACTTTCAGAAGTGTTACCTTGGACTAGAACATTGCACTGTACTTCTTTCATAGTTATCTTAATCAGGCATATGAGTTTAGTTAGTATTCTCCTTCAGAACACGTCTAGATATAACTCTTCTCTGATGATGCTTTCATAGGCATTCTGGAAATCTGGTGGGTACATATACTGTGTTCTCTGGCTTTCTCCAATAAAATCCACACTGAGAAAAGTTGGCCTATCATAAATCTTCCCCTCTTGAAGCCTGCCTGATATAACCCAATTTTCTGTTCTGAAAATGAAAGCTTTTTATAAATTATTCTTGAGAATACCTATAAGCATAGGATAGTAAAGATATGCTGGAGTAATTATTGCAGTTAAGCATATCACCATTCTTAAGTATTGGACATATTGGTCTCTTGTACCACTAAAAAGGTATTTCTTTGGTATGCTGTAAGCCCATCACAATATTGTAGAGGAACCTTCTTAACTCTTTGTTACCATACTTAACTCTTTGACTGTGAGACCTCATCATAACACGTGTTTCTTCCTAATGACGGATTTTTTTCATCCTTAAATTTGTTTAAATACTAATTCATAGTCACCCTGAAAGATATTAGCTTTCAAAAATGCATTTAAAACCTTTTTATTTAATTTTGGGTTCAGAATAAAACTGTAACTGATAGCTTCCAACAAATGGTAAGAAACCGGAACGACAAAACTGAGTGAGCTCCAGAGGATTAATGAATACACGGACCAAGCCACAAGGCGAATGTTGGAAGCGGGGCTTTCCCTTACTGCTACAAGTGGCGATAGGCGAGGCTTTGACAGGTTGTCAGACCACATGGTGCTGTGCACACATGTTAGCCCGCTCGGCCACCCACCTATTAGCATTGCACTCTCTGTCCTATTATCTTCTGCATCTCTGTTTCAGCAAGCATTCAATCAAGACTTAAAGGGGCAATGGTATTTTTGATTTCCAAGTAAAACTGTCTTATTTTATTTAGGCTTTGGAGACTTTCAATATTCTCAAGTAGACCTCTTTTCCATTTGTTGCAGACACTTTTCCTTCAACCTTTACACCCTATATTCCTCAACTAATACCCTGTATATTGTGTTTTTTAAGCCAGTAGCAGTATGAAATGCTTCAATGAAGCAGAGTGGGTTCCTTGTTATTTGCTAAAGACCAAGAACTGCTTCTGATACTTCTTTCATTACCTCCTTACAGCTTGTTCAACATTGATTGACATCCTGTTTTTGGTCAATATCTCTGTTATTTTTTTTTATCAACATCAGAACATATACATAATAAAAAATTATTATATATTAATCTGCTTTACTGATTTCTTAGTCATCAAAGTTAACAATTTAACTATGAATTGCTACAAACACACAAAATATAGCTGAAGAATGTTTTTAAAGTTTTCTTTTATGAACAACTAACTAGTTCAGACACAGAACAGAATTAGAATACAGACAACACAGCTGAAAAAGTTTTACAGATCTATATGAATCTATTACCAAAAATAAATTAGGAATTAATCATTATTATATGATACGATTTATCAAGTCATAGTAGAAGAGAAGTTGATTGGATATTGCGGTAATTGAAAGTACAAAGTAAAAATAAATTATATTAATTTTCTTTGGGCCAATATTTAGGTCTAAGTTTCAGGCCTTCGTAAGGGCTAAGCAAAGACAAGATGACATTTAAATGCTGAGAAAATGATGGACAGTAGTAATCATAATATGTAGGCAAATAGTACAGTAAAATAATATGAAGGTAGTTATAAGTATACGGAATAGGAAACATTGATTAATGTTAAAGTTAACTACCTACAAATTATTTATATACTATTTTATCTAAATATAATTATAGCTACTGCATAATATTTTCTCAGTATTTATTTGTTATCTTGTCCTTGATTAGCCCCGATGTAGACTTGAAACTTAGGCAATAAGAAAATTAATATTATTTATTTTTACTCTATGCTTTCAATGACTGTAATCCCCAATCAACTTCTCTTCAACAATATCTTCCAACAGACAACAATTATCCACTGTTACATAAGCCATAAAATCTTGCTTAATGGACCTATAGGCAAAATATGTTGAAACATAAAATAAAACTAATGAACAGAAAACTTTCATAAATAATTATCCTTAATAGACTAATTAATATTGAAATAGATCTATATTTAATATCTACGTGAGAGCTTAATCATTCAATTTCAAACCCTAAATTTTCTTAGAGGGATTAGGAATAAAACAAGAGGCTGCATGGCAACTACTTTACGACTTACAATTGTTATAAGATTATTGTGCAAAAATTAAGAAAGATAAAAACTTACATTCATGAAAGGACGACAGTTCTCTTTAATTTCTTCAATAGTGAGAGCAGATCTTGCATAACCAAAAAATTTAGTATTTTCAGGAAGGAGACCATCTCTGTATAAACCCCACAAAGCAGGATAAGTTTTTTTTTTTGCCAAATCTCCCTACAAAAAATACATACATATACCTACTCATTTATATATATATATATATATATATTGTAATGCACACCTTTATTGGAAGTGAGTAAAAAGGGTTTAATAAATTAATGTTGAACAAGTAAAAGGCAAGCTGATCTAGTTCTACTAGTGCAGGGAAAAGAAAATGGCTGCTCTGTAGTTTCCCAAGAAGAAAAATCCCAAAGAGGAGAGAGACAAAAGGTTTTTGTTTTGGCAAGCAGTTGCTGTGTGACTGCAGTGAAGAGAGGATAGGGGAAAAGTGATCCTGGCTCCAGTGGGAAAAAATCAGTAATAGTTTTACAATCTTGGAAGGTTTTGTTTGACAGAGAGACTAGTTGTTTGGAATCAACAGAGAGAGGATCTCCCAGGGAGCTTGAGTTCAGTAGAAGAAAGTATCACCAATTTGGAAGTTGTGTTTGGCAGAACTTTGGAAAGTGTTTGAAAACAAATGAATTCAGTGCCACAAAGGAAGAAACATTGTATATAGAAAAAAGGTTAGCTTGCCAATCCATATTTGACTTTATTTTAAAATCAAACAGGGTTCAGTATACTTAATTTTAGTTTGTCTGAGTGTTTTAATCTGATTGTCAGTAACCCACACCTGAGATAAATAAATATATTAATACTCTTATAATTTTGTTTATTATTTAATAACCTCTTATTTATTTAGGAAGTATCCTAATATTATTGAAGTAGTCTTCCGAGGTTATAGTATTATTATTTGTAAAATATATATATACAAACATATAATAAAATATATAAACACCTCGTGCGGGCTCATTAGCGCGTAGGGGAGCATCCTATGGGTAGCGGATGTGAGGATGGTCGGTGAAAATTCCTTGGAAGTTCCTCCAGATCAAGTCTGATGGACTCACTGAACAACAATGAGAGCGGCCCTCCAAACTTGCTGGAGTGTGACATAGGATTGAATGCCCTACTCACATATCTTTATATTTTTTATATACATATCTGTAACCTTTAAAATTTATATATTTTTATATTCATATCTTTATATCACCCATCCTCCTTATTACATTCAATTTTCCCTATCTACAATAATTGTTACCATTTATTTACTTCAGTTTAGGATCTGTCTACTTAGTTATACTTTGTTTACTCTGTTTATATAGTTTATTGTTCTTAATATTCCTATGTACTGTCTATTCATACTTTTTACAATTGTAATAAGTTTATTCACACTGTTTATAATTTTATCTAAATATCATGTAACTTTCACATTTTTATATCCTTTTGTATCTTGTGTGTTTTAGCCCTGAAGAAGACCTGCAAGTTGGGTCGAAATGTTTGCTCGGAATAAAAATAACTTTTTCACTGTTTCTTTGTTTTTATGACTGCCACCTTTTTAGGACCATTCCCATACTCATATATCTTTAATTCATCAAACACTACAAATAGTCATGGATCTCCGTAAGAAAAGCGCTCATTACCCGGAGGTAAACTCCGGGTCTCCGGTGGGAAAGTTTCTGCTTTAGACCCAGGGACCCAGGGTCTGCTTTAGAGGATTCATGGCGTAAGATGAAAAATTTAGGTATTGGTACATGGAACGTGAGGAGTTTGAATTCAGCAGGTGGGTTAAAATCAGTCACCAATGAGGTTGATGGGTACAATTTGGATATCGTGGCTCTGCAAGAGGTTTGCTGGTCAGGGGAAGGAAAGTAAATTATTTGGTATGGAGAAAGTAGGAATCATAATTTATATAGTTTAGGTTTCTAATTAGAAATAGATTGCTATCCGCCTTGAGGGACATACAATTCTTTAGTGATAGAATTTCGATAGTCATCAGTCAATAGTAGACAGGGATATTGGTTTAAAATCGGGTTGATAAATATACATTGTCCAACCGAAGACAGTGATGATGAAGTCAAATGTGAATTTTATGATAAACTCGAGTGGGTTTATGATAAGCTACTGCGAAACTACATGAAATTAGTTGTTGGTGACGTGAAAGCAAATGTGGGAAGGGAAGAAGTTTATTTTTCGACGACTGGTGAAGAAAGTTTGCACGAATATAGTAATGATAATGGGATCCATCTGATAAACTTTGCAATCTCCGAAAACCTGATAATTAAAAATACTATGTTTAAACTTAAGGATATTCATAAATATAACTGGACATCACCGGATTCGGAAACACAAAATAAAATCGATCAACAACATAACTGGCAAAGCAGTAAAATCAATGTATGGTCTTATCGTGGAGCAGATTGTGGATCGGATCATAACTTAGTAATCTCAAAACTTCGACAAAAATTTAATATAAAAAAGAGAAAAGAAAACAATTTCGATATCAAGAATGGAAAAATCCCTCAATTAGAACTCAATTTGAGCTAGATGTTAAGAATAGGTTTGAAGCTTTAGAATCCTCTGACGATGATGATATAGACAAGTTATGGGTAGGAATCAGGGATAATATTGAAGCAGTCGGAAACTCATGTCTTGTGAAAAAATAAAATAAAAAGAACAAACCGTGGTTCATTGAAGATTGTTAAAAAATGTGTAATAAAGGAAAAGCTGCTAAATTAAAAGCTCTAAATAATCCTAGCGAAGACAATCTCGAATACTTCCGAATCTTAAAGAATGAAATGACTAAATTGCTCAAAAGTAAAAAAAGAGAGTATCTTAAAAATAAAATAGTAGAAATAGAAACAACAGAATCGAAAATAATATAAGAGACATGTACAAAGTTGTAGTAAAGAGGAAGTTGAAGTAGTTATCAGAAAATTAAAATCTAATAATAAAGCAGCGGGAACCAATAATATTCCTAGTGAACTACTTAAGGTGTGGGGCGAAGCGGGAGTTTCTAAAATATATTTGTTGGTTGAAAAGATATGGAAGAATGAGAAATTGCATGAAGAATGGAAAGAATCTATTCTTATTCCAATTCATAAAAAGGGTTCGAGGAGGGATTGTAATAACTATCGAGGAACCTCACTCCATCCAGTATGTTATTAAATATTCTTATTAATCCTTACTAATCGAATCATGGAATACGTCCAGGAAATTATCGGAGACTATCAATGCGGATTTAGACAGAACCATTCCAACTATTTGGTTCTGTTGTTCATCACCAGCTGTATATCAACTTCAAAAAATCTTACTATTCTATTGACTGCCAGAAGCTGTATAATATTTTAATCGAGCAAAGGATACCAAAAAAAATTAGTAAATCTAGTTAGGATGTGCATGATAGAAACAATCAAAAAAGTTATTGGGTTGTCCGGAAAATAATGCAGGATTTTGGTTTAAAAAGAATAAAAGAAAAAAGAAAGATTTACAACTGTTTTATTTAATCAAAATAATCTCCACTACTATCAATACATTCTGCCAACATGTTGCCAACTTTTATATTACCTCAGAATAGAATTCCCTGTCTTTAGAAAACTCCAAAAATGCCTGTTCTAATTCCTCTTGTCCATTAAATTTTTCGTCACGTAAGTAGTGGTCCAGGTGTCTGTAAAAATGATATGCGTATAGGTGAGAAATTAGGAGAGTAGGGCGGATGTGGCAAAGTTTCATATCCAAACTGCAACAGTTTTTGTGATGTCACATGTGAGACATGTGGCCACAGGTGTTGTCATGCAACAAAATGGGCCCCTTACTATTGCCACTTTCTGATGCATTGCATTAATTTGGTTACAATACGATTCAGCATTGATTGTTTCTCCAGGATTTAGGAAGCTGTAGTGTATCAAACCAAATGAAGCCCACAGAACAGTATTCATCACTTTTTTTTTATGAGTTGGAGGCTTTGGAAAATGTTCTGCTGCTTCTCCTTGGTCGAGTCACTGTCCACTGTTATCGTAAAGTATCCACTTTTCATCACAACTAACAATTCTGGACAGAAAAGGGTCGTTTTTGTTTCAGCAAAGAAGTTAGCACAAATTTCATAATGCTTGTTTTTTTGGTGTTTATTTAATGTGTGTGGAACCCAACTTTCAAGCTTTTTTACCTTTCCAATCGCCTTGAGGTGGTCATTGATGGTCGATTTGCTAAGGTTAAATTTCTCTGTAAGTTCTCGAACAGTTGTTTTGGAGTTTTCTTCCACCAAAGCCAGCAGAACATCGTCATCAAGAGAGGAAGTCCTTCCACGACTTTCTTTGTCTTCAAGGCTGAAGTTTCCCTCCTGAAATTGTTCGAACCACCATTGAACAGTGCACTTAATAATGCTACTCTCGCCCCAGATTTGATTGATGTTTTTGGTCATCTGGGCCCCATTCCAGCAGAGTTTAAACTTGTAAAACAAATTTAAAGAAAATCATGCGTTGACATCGTAGTTAAGACTGAATTATTTCTAAGCAGAGAAATGCAACAGAGGTAAACAAACATTATCATTTGGAAGAGGATTAATAAGTGTTGATATTCATACAAATGAATAATGCAGTATATGTAAACAGTTTGTTATGTAGAGAGGTAAAGAAAACTCAAAATCCTGCATTATTTTCTGGCAACCTGGCAATTATTTATCCGAAAAGATTGAGGTTCGTTGGGGTTTAAAACAAGGTGAATCCCTTTCACCTTTCCTGTTTAATTGGCATTAGAACATGCCATTAGGAAAGCAATGCGTACCGAAAAAGGGTTGAATCTGGGTAGTATAATACCAGTGCTTGGCTATGCGATTGATTAGATAATCGAAGACAGGGTTACTATAAAACCAACTGAAGTGACTTTAAACTAGGTGTACATTAGGCCTACATGGCCGTAGTGCACTTATGCCGCGAAAAAAAAAAAAAAAAAAAAAAAAAAATATATATATATATATATATATATAACATTAAATACGACAAAGTTAATGAAAACCAGTAAAGAACTAGGGCTTGAAATAAACACAGATAAGATAACACGTATGGTTAACTGCAAAAATGGCGATAATTACGTTGATATCAATATAGGAGGGAATATGTTGATCCCGTAGAGAAGTTTAGGTATCTAAGGTCTACAATAACCAGAAAAATACGAAATTGAAGAGCAGATTAAGGTTATGCTGAAGGCGGGAAATGCTTGTTATTTTTCAGTGACAAAACTACTTAGCCTTCTGTTCTGGAACTTACAAATTAGAATTTATAAAACCATTATCCTAACTACGGTTCTTTATGGATGCGAAACGTGGCTGCTTACATTAAGGGATGAGCAATGTCTTAAGGTTTTTTAAAATAGAGTATTGAATAGAATATACGGACCAAAGAAGCATAAGTTAACAGGAGAATTCAGACGGTTACACAAGTGGGAAGATTGTGTTAAGGCCGACCTGAAAGGACTGGGTTTGGATGGTGACCGGTGGAGGGAGGTGGGTAGACAGCGATTGGTTGTGTCTGCATTGAAACTTCGGGTTTGCTAAGCCTTTTATTATTATATACTGTAATGTAGATATTACATGATGATTTCGAATAGTGGCGCGAAAGCAGTGACGTCAGGAACTACTGTCAAAAATGGACAAAGAGACAGAGAATAACAGATGGAGGGAGAAGAAGAGCCATATGTTGGGAGAGAAGATAGCCAGTCGGCTAGTAAAGAGGATCGAGAGAAGAAAATGTAACTAACAAGGAGTGAGTGTAAATAAAGGAAAATAGAAGATTGTAGAAGTTGAAGACAACAATATAGAGGAGGATTCACTGCAGAACCTGGTGAGTGACATATAAATAGGGACAGTTCGAAAGCGCGCCAAGAGTAGACCCCGACAAAACAATGGAAATTCATAAAAATGTTATGCACAACTATATTGTATGATTTTATATTTATAATTGAGGAGTGTGTGTTTGTTGTATCAACCCAATGTGAGAATTAATTATTGAGTAAAATAGATATTATTTGATTTAGAAACTGTTTTGTTTACTTTTCAAAGGAAATGTAACCTAACAAGCAAGAATCAGTATGGGATGTTGCTGGTCATATAGAGCATCAGTGAGTGACAAAGTCTGCCACCCACCCTGATAAGCCCAAGCTCATTGCTGAAGGGATTCAGCTGACGGTACTCCTTAGATGAGGAAGAGTGGATGTTACGAGGTAACGATGTGCGCTGGACAAGGCGGATACAGGCATGAAGCGCACCAGAGAACTCCCTGGCATGGACAGAGCCGGATAACGTAGTGGAGCGCGAGCGGGTATACCTAGCGAGACAAATGAAAAGTGTGGTGACATTAATTAAACGATGTAAAGATAAGAACCATGCCATCTACAAGTCATCGCACAATTCCAGTACCAAATGCGAAAGAAGGGACATTCCGGATTCGATGATTTCACTATCATGTGACCCAACTTTGAATGCAGGAAGGGCCTTGGAACCAGAAGTGACATGTGATAAGCTCAGGCAGAAGACATCCTCGAGAGGCTATGTTGGCTGGATTGATCTCGCACCTCACGAACCACCACTGGTCAACGTGGGACTCGCCTTCAAAACCTTCAAGTTGTACACGGGTGCTTCAGCCACGCGAGAACGACTGCCGATAATTATTATAATTAATTAATCCACTATAACTAATTGCCCCTTCAGGGACATTAATTGGAAATAATAAAATGAAGAGAAATTAACAAAATAAGCAGTGACATCATTCACGGATATTCCTCCATCAAACTTTTCATTTTTTACTTCACAAGAAAAGGGCTCCATATATAGCATGTACCGGTTCTCCCAATATTGTACATATGGTGTGTCCTGGGTGAGGAATATTTGTGAATGAAATTATAGTTAACGTCCGCCCATCAATTTAATTTTCTTTTCTTTTTTTACATTAAATTAAATTTGAAACAGAATTTAATTACATTTCAATTCATTAACGTCAATGTTGCTATTAATTAACACACTATCAAATGGCTTAAGCAGCCAGCAGGTGGGTATTGTCTCTAATACCATTTGAAACAACATTGGGGCCGCCTTATTCTATTAAGCACAACAGATGTGCTTACTTCCGCCACTGTTTCTAACGTTTCCTTTCTACCTATTTTAACTTTCCAGCATCCAAATAACTTGAATTCAGATCTCGCTATATAGTTTATAAATTTATTGCATTATTTCGGCTTTCAGCTTAGATGTATATAGCGTGATTTATTATTATTATTTAAAGTTCATACATATCAGTTCATACATACGCGAATAACATACATACACAATTATATATGTACAGAATATTATAACACATAACTTCACTTACTAAAATTATTTTTATTATTAAGACTTCATATAAACAATTTAATTTAAACTTTATTTATATAGATATTTTCATTTTTGGGATATTTTTCATATATTTATAACAGTTGAGAGTGTACATGTTTTTATTCTCTACATCATGTTGTTGATTTTCATATATTTATTAACTTATTCCTTATGCATGTTCAATTTATTGTTAAACATATTTATTTAGTTGTATATATTTCATTCGTTCATGTATATAAATATTTAATTATTTATCTTTCATTAATTTATATGCATAGGTATTTATTTAATAGATTATACTTAGTCATCTGATAATTTATCGTATTTTGAGCGCACATTTAAATCTCTAAATATTCTGAAATCTTTATTTTAAAAATTTAAATCATGGAAATTTCGAAGTTTTTCCATAGCAAGTTTACAATTTCACGATTTTGTTGTTTGCTTATCCATATATTCAATAGTCATCTCCTCAAATTATAAATTTTCATATATTTATTAACTTATTCCTTATGCATGTTCAATTTATTGTTAAACATATTTATTTAGTTGTATATATTTCATTCGTTCATATATATAAATATTTATTTAATTATTTATCTTTCATTAATTTATATGCATAAGTATTTATTTAATAGATTATATTTTAAATTAAATTCCTTATCAAATTTAATTTGATAAGGAATTTAATTACAGTTCAATTCATTAACGTCAATGTTGCTATTAATTAACATAATATAAAACAGCTTAAGCAGTCAGCAGGTGGGTATTGTCTGTAATACCATTTGAAACAACAAATTATTTCTAAGCAGAGAAATTCTACAGAAGTTGTTGTATTTACATCCATAATTTTTGTATATATATATATTATTTGGTATTACATACCATATTTTTTATTATTTGCCTTGTATAAATAACACAGGAGCACCCCCGTTCTCATCCTGTCCTATCCCCTCTTGAGTACGAGGTGCCTTATCTACGTCTAAAGTCCAGGTGCCAGAATAAGCATACATCTCCCAGCTCACTTGCTCTGCCGAATTCAGAGCTCACGGCTAACGGAGAGAGGGAATCACAGCCCTTCGGCTACACAATGGCTGGACACCTGTTGCAACATACTGGACGAGGCGAAAAACTGAAACAGCTTAGACCAGCGACGGCATTGGGAGAGAGGTGATAAACCACAGGGGGCTGCATTATTCTATTAAGCACAACAGATGTGCTGACTTATGCCGCTGTTTATAACGTTTCCTTTCTTCCTATTTTAACTCTCCAGCATCCAAATAACTCCAATTCAGATCTCGCTATATAGATTTTCCGTACTTACCCCTGAATGGTGTCGTAACCTGGTTTCCAGATGAGCGGGTAGGCTGAAGCACCCTAGGACATGGAGAGCGCATCAAATTTCTCCCATATGTTTTCGAATTTATCCTACATCAGCCTTGCCTCCTAGTAAATCACTTCATACTCGAAGAAAACTCCACCGCCGATATCCGCGGCTTGGATAAACAATTTCTGGAGACCGCGCTTAAGATGGCGCAATTTAAGCTCAAGCGTGCCACTGTGGCCGGAGAAGTCGTTTAACTGCTCGTTACCTTCACCCATGGTTCCAAACTAATTTATAATTTGAGGAGAAGACTATTGAATATATGGATATGCAAACAACAAAATCGTGAAATTGTAAACTTGCTAAGGAAAAACTTCGAAATTTCCATGATTTAAATTTTTAAAATAAAGATTTCAGAATATTTAGAGATTTAAATGTGTGCTCAAAATACGATAAATTATCAGATGACTAAGTATAATCTATTAAATAAATACCTATGCATATAAATTAATGAAAGATAAATAATTAAATATTTATATACATGAACGATTGAAATATATACAACTAAATAAATATGTTTAACAATAAATTGAACATGAATAAGGAATAAGTTAATAAATATAAAAATCAACAACATGATGTAGAGAATAAAAACATGTACACTCTCAACAGTTTTAAATATATGAAAAATATCCCAAAAATGAAAATATACATATAAATAAAGTTTAAATTAAATTGTTTATATGAAGTCTTAATAATAAAAATAATGTTAGTAAGTGAAGTTATGTGATATAATATTCTGTACATATATAATTGTGTATGTATGTTATTCGCATATGTATGAACTGATATGTATGAACTTTAAATAATAATAATAAATCACGCTATATACATCTAAGCTGAAAGCCGAAATAATGCAATAAATTTAAAAACTATATAGCGTGATCTGAATTCAAGTTATTTGGATGCTGGAAAGTTAAAATAGGTAGAAAGGAAACGTTAGAAACAGTGGCGGAAGTAAGCACATCTGTTGTGCTTAATAGAATAAGGCGGCCCCAATGTTGTTTCAAATGGTATTAGAGATAATACCCACCTGCTGGCTGCTTAAGCCATTTGATATTGTGTTAATTAATAGCAACATTGACGTTAATGAATTGAAATGTAATTAAATTCTGTATCAAATTTAATTTAATGTAAAAAAAAAAAAAAAAGAAAATTAAATTGATGGGCGGACGTTAACTATAATTTCATTCACAAATATTCCTCACCCAGGACACACCATATTTACAATATTGGGAGAACCGGTACATGCTATATATGGAGCCCTTTTCTTGTGAAGTAAAAAATGAAAAGTTTGATGGAGGAATATCCGTGAATGGCGTCACTGCTTATTTTGTTAATTTCCCTTTATTTTATTATTTCCAATTAATGTCCCTGAAGGGGCAATTAGTTTTAGTGGACTAATTAATTATAATAATTTTACATACAATCTGATAAGGGGCCAATTTCATGTCTGTGGTTTATCGCCTTTCTCCCAATGCCGTCGCTCGTCTAAGCTCTTTCAGTTTTTCGCCTCATCCAGTATGTTGCAACAGGTGTCCAGCCAATGTGTAGCCGAAGGGCTGTGATTCCCTCTTTCTTTAGCCGTGAGCTCTGAATTTGGCAGAGCAAGTGAGCTGGGAGATGTATGCTTATTCTGGCACCTATACTTTAGACGTAGATAAGGCACCTCGTACTTGAGAGGGGATAGGACAGGATGAGAACGGGGGGGCCCTCGTGTTATTTATACAAGGCAAATAATAAAAAATATGGTAAATAATACCAAATAATATATATATATATATATATATATATATATATATATATATATATATATATATATAAATTATGGATGTAAATCCAACAACCTCTGTAGAATTTCTCTGCTTAGAAATAATTCAGTCTTTACTAAGATGTCAACGCATGATTTTCATATAAATTTGTTTTACAAGTTTAAACTCGGCTGGAATGTGACTCAAACAGCCAAAAACATTAATCAAGTCTGGGGCGAGAGCAGCATTATTGAGTGCACTGTTCAATGGTGGTTTCAACGATTTCGGGAGAGAGACTTCAGCCTTGAAGATAAAGAAGGTCGTGGAAGGACTTCCTCTCTTGATGACGATGTTCTGCTGGCTTTGGTGGAAGAAAACTACAAAACAACTGTTCGAGAACTTACAGAGAAATTTAACCTTAGCAAATCGACCATCGATGACCACCTCAAGGCGATTGGAAAAGTAAAAAAGCTTGAAACTTTCCATTACATTCCAAGGTTCCACACACATTAAACAACCACCAAAAAAACAAGCATTATGAAATTTGTGCTACACTTCTTTGCCGAAACAAAAACGACCCTTTTCTGTCCAGAATTGTTAGTTGTGATAAAAATTGGATACTTTACGATAACAGTGGACAGTGACTCGACCAAGGAGAAGCAGCAGAACATTTTCCAAAGCCTCTAACTCATAAAAAAAAGTGATGAATACTGTTTGGTGGGCTTCATTTGGTTTGATACACTACAGTTTCTGAAATCCTGGAGAAACCATCAATGCCAAATCGTATTGTAACCAAATGATTGTAATGCATCAGAAATTGGCAATAATGAAGCCATCATTGGTCAATCGTAAGGGG